TACAGTAAAATAAGGTTTGATGAGAAGTTAATTATCTAAATAAAATTCTAGGCTTCTAGTAATAACAGTTTTTTTATATTAATTTTTAGAACAAATTAACTCTCTCTTTGTTTTTAGTTAAGGGGTGACTATTTTGCTCACCACCACTATTTAATAAATACACAACACATCCAATACTAAGTATTTTTATTTAAGAATAATACTTTTCTTCAAAACTAATTTACTCCAAGTCTATATATACGTAAAGCATAGAAAACAAACTAAATAATTAACATTTGAGTCCACAGTCTGCTCACTTCCTCTGTTAATTCACGAATATGAAATTTATTTTAACAACTGTTTGTTTAGTTTACCTAAGAACAAGCGTTAAAAAAAAATTAAATGCCATAAACGTCAATAACGAAATTATAGCCACGCCACCATTGGCTAGTGAAATGTATCTCCACATGATCAAAGCCAGGACCACCATTAGTCAGGGTCGCATAGCCACCATTGCCATTTATATATTGATCCTTAACCATCACATAGGTAATTTTAGCCGGCCTTGGTACACCCTAAAAGAAAGCCGAAGGTGAAATAAAAACAAAAAAAAAATTAGTTTCACAACACTCTGCAACAAAACACGTATTTTTAATTAACACACCTTCTGTTCGTAGATAAAGTCACCCCTTTTCTTTTGCATTATAGCCGATTTAGCAAAGGCGACTTTGCGTATCAAATGTTGATCGCCTGGTATACGCGTACCCAATATGAGGTCATGACTTAGTGTAGAATTAGCAGCTACAACGGCGAATAATGCAATAAACGCGATAAATGCACAAAACAATTTCATTTTCTTGCTCTAAGAGTTTTTGTTTTTGTTTTTGATGTTCTGCGATTTTTACTTAAATATTCTCGTACTGCACGTTGATTCTGCGGCTTTAAATTGCAAACTGATGGCAAAAATTTAATTTTGCACTATTTTGGCTGGAGAATTGGATGTGAAAACTACTGTTGGTTATTGTTGATAAATATATGTATGTATGTGTATGTAAACACGACTAAATTCTAGGTAATTCTTATCGCGAAGGCGAAACAGTTGTTTAAATAAATGTTATATTTGTGCGTCAGCAGAGGAACTGAGTGACAAAAGTTTAAGGCAGTCTGTATATAGATTAAAATGTTAATAGGAATCTTTAATTTTTATTATTCTTTTAAGTATCTTTTATAGTTTAAGCAAATACAAATATGCACACGCTACCGATTGTTTCATCGGTGGATTTCGCTTTATCAAGATGAATAATATACGTTTACGTTTTTTTATAAAAATGTGTGTTTCTTATACTACAACAAAACCATACAACTCAAAGTTTAAAGCCTTGTACAAGATTTATTTAAACTTTTTAATCAGAACTTTTAGAAAAACTTCGCACAATATTGTGAAAGTTTAAGGCGGCTATGAATTGGAGTTGTGTTTTCAGAATATTTTGTAGGAAGAAAATGCTTGATAGTTTCAATATAAGGACATTTTAAAAATTAAGGCCGTCGATATTAGAATTTTTTCTACAAATTCTGAATAAAAATTTAAAATTTTGATGACCATTTTTTTTTTGTAATTTGGCAATTTTTTATAAATCTTGTACGCGCTTCGAAACCATGAGTTGCATGGATTTCTTTGTGGTATACACCATATTTTTATTAAAAAAAAAAATTATTAAAAATAAATAGTCAAAACTTATAAAAATGTACGGTCCCTAATTATGTGGTCGAAGCTGTATATTTTACAAATATAACTCAGTGACTCACTCCATTTAAATGCTCCGAGTGTTTTAAATTACATCACCTTTAAGAGTATATCAAAAGTTAATCTGGATAGGAATTAAGCTGGTTGATATACACACATACGTATGTGTTCTATGTATTTACATAATTAAGCTATATTTAAATTTTAGTCTAAATTTGTCATACGCCAGTTCATGAGTGGATAGAAAAAATATGTATGTGTTTGATTTAAGAAATAAGACTGATGAAAGACGTTTTACAAACTGTTCAACCCTGAAATAAAATTTGATTGGCTGGAAAAAGAAAAATCATGCAAACCACACCAATCTTTTGACAAACCTAGGCAGGCGCTATAATAAAATTTTATGAACTGAAAGATTCTAGAAAAGGCCAACAGCAACTTCGCTTCGTGCCCTCTAAAACCACAACACGTTGGTTGAACCCTCGAGTTGGGAACTCACAGAAGGCAAGTCAGGGAGTAATTTAAGCTAGTGAAGTTAACGGAAGCCACAGAATGTTGGGAGGAGTACTCAATATTTACAAAAAAAGAAGTAGGAAAATCATCAGAGACTGCAAGGGTAAAGAATGTTCGATCTAAGGACAATACCGCACAAGAAAGCATTAGGTCGAGAATGGGACTGTAACCAAAGCTGCGAACAACCTCTCGAGACGTTGCTTAACGCACACTTCCCGACAGGACAGAAACGGAAAACGAATGGTCCGATCTGACTGTGAAAGGTTTAGTAACACCGAAAAAAATTTAATGGGCACTACACACCTTCTGTGAATTCAAATCACTAAGCATTGATGTATTTTCCCCCAGCCTTGCTTCAAAAAGCTGGAAACAAAATTCTCGAATGCCTGTGTGAGCTAACTATTCGCTGGCTGAATCAAACACATATTTAGTTTATTCAGCAAACTAAAGAGCTATACAGGCATTATTTCCGACGTACGACAATAAAGCAAATAAGTTCCAAAATTTGCAGCTCAAAATTTCAGTTGGTTGCGTCTGTACGGTATTTGAAGATTTAGGAATGATCATTGTTTTTAAGTAAAAAAAAGTGAAACCTCACAATAAATATGAACTGGTTTGAATTCTTTCACTTATAATGATAATCATCCCTAGTTTGGTGACTTGCTGAAGATTTTAAAACCGAGTCGAAATTTCTTAAGAATGCGAATTGGTGACTGATGTGCAGATCCGCCTTAAATTATGGAGAGAATACTATCCGGAACCATTTCCCGAAATTCTTACATCAATAACGTGGCTTGAAACTAACAAAGCTATCAGAGCTGATGGTCTGCCCGCTAAGCTATTTAAATATGCCGGCAAGAAGCTGGTAAAGGGCATGCAGCTTGGAGATGGGATTAGCCTTCTGAGCAAAGTTATTTGGTATTTAGGTTATATTTTGATAAAAAAAAGGTTACTGATGCGAGACTGAGTGACCTTATAGTTATCTAGAAAATTTATTAAACTTTCAATCAATTGCTTCAATTCCGCGATGACTGAATTTATAATCCATGCGAAACTACTACTGATATGTAAGATGACTGAGCAATACCATTAGCTCCGTCTGAATTAGGAATGACCTCTCAGAACCGTTTCATACCAAACAAAGTAACTCGCTTTAGCCAACAAGTGCTACTTTGGACTGAGTAGACCATTAAACAGTAAAATCTTTTCACGACGAACGAAAATCACACTTGCACAAGAAAAGGCCCTTGTACGTTTGTGACAGCGAGTACCGGAGACGACGAATCAATGAGTTTTAAATATAATATATTATCATATTATGAGCTTTACAATGAACTTGGACAAAGTGCAGTTAATTAACCTACAGCAGCTACGTGTTTAGGCCTTGTCGTACAAAGGAACTAGGCTTCAAAGTTTAGCCAACCTGCAGCTTTTAGAAGGGGGGCACATGCAAAAATCGAACGGCCCTAGAAAAAAATACTAATCGATTCAGAAACATGTCCTGAAAATATTCAAAAAGCATCATCGAGCGTGAACGGGATATTATTTTATTTAATGAAAGACTAAAAACAATTAATAAAAAATATAAATCTGCATATGTCAGTGGACTTGATTTTTCTAATTGGCGCCAGTTAGTAATAATAAAAGCGGCTGGCGTTGTAAGATACCTACACGATCTCCTTAGCGGTTATACATACACTGCGGGCAAAAAGTATTGACACAGCTGATTTTTTACAATATACATATGCAAAAATTTTTATTGTAATACTTTTCCCACAATTTTTTATAAAAATATGAATCATTCCACAACAAAAAACATAAAAATATAATTTCTAAACTTTGTGCAAAACTCGCGAAAATTCAGAAAAATTTCCAACTTTTTAATAAGATTTTTTCGAATTTTTTTGAGTATGCGGATTTGTAGCCCAATCAATTTTGTTGTAATAAAGTGAAGTTTTAAATAGCTACGAATCACTGTTGATTTTGGCACTTTTTTTTCACGCACTCTCATCCATACAGAAAAAAATTTTCGAAAATACTTTATATGGAAGAAATGCAAAACACCTTCAACAAAAAAAAATTCTCAAAAATCAATGCGATTTTTGACTAACTCCAAGCCTACATTTTTTATACTAGAACTTAATGGGCTACAAAACAGCATACTCAAGAAAATTCGAGAAGATCTGTTTAAAAAGTTGTAAATTTTCATGCAAGTTCATTGAATTTTCGCGAGTTTTGCACAAAGTTTAGAAACTATATTTTTGTGTTTTTTGTTTGTAAAATGAACCATATTTTTATCAAAAATTTGCGGTAAAATATTAAAATAGAAATTCGTTCATATATTGTGCAAAATTAGCTGTGCCAATACTATTTTCCTGCAGTGTATGTAGCTTCACTGAAGAACGAGTTAACTTCTAGGCCATAACCAAAATTGATCTGCTTCAATTGATACCCACAGTCTCTATGTTAAGATTTAAGCATTTTACCTACAGAGCATTTGAATTATCTGCCCTTAAATGAGACACTTTAAAATATCGCAACTACCGCGACACGTATCGGGTGCATTTTTACAAAATAATTTTTTATTCAACAACTAACAGCTATCGTATGTCGCCAAAACATAATGTGCCTATTGAAGTGTAGCAAAGTGTATTTTATTAACGAAAATACTGGACATACATAACTACGTATTTGAAAATATTAATTATTTTAAATTTTTTACTTTTTTGACACAATTCGCCTAGATTCACTAATATCTACTCACCGCATTTGATGTTGACACAAATCTGAAAAGTAAAAAATATTTTTTTAAGCAGTTGCTTCATTTGAAAATCGAGTATGTATGAAATTTTTAATAAGAAAATATTCTATAATAAATATTACATACGTATGTTTTACTCCTTGCTTTTTATGAGGCTACGCCTACGTTTAAGTGAAAGTCCACAATTTTTATTATCCCTTTTAGCCGTTCTATTTTAAATGAATTTATTTCACCAATAGCCTCGATAAGTCGCTACTCACCCAAAATTTATTTTTATAGCGACAAAAACAAAAAACAAGAAAGAGTAGGAGCTAACGCGGCCTTTTGTACGTGCTTAAAGCACACACGCACACTCAGTTGTGTATAAAAGGCTGCATAGAAGCTATGTTAAAAGTTAAAGGACCAAATATTCAATACCGGAAAAATGTTGAGGTGCTGCAGGATAATGCTCGCACATATAGCGGTACTCTTATAACGAGTATGTATATATGTATATTCACAAAAAGAGTACTACTACATATGTACATATGAGTATGTATAAAGAAGCATGTACACTTCGCTTTCCATATTCATACAAAATTTGTTCAATATGCCTGTGATAAGTACGTAGTAATATGAAAACTCCCATACAGCATATAAACGGAATATGAAAAGGATATTTAACGTTAATATGTGATTGCGGGTGTGTGTGTGTGTGTGTGTGTGTGTGAACTTACCCTGCAGCAAAATTTAGGGACAGTCTGGCAAAGCGCTAGTTCCGCCCCACAAATTTCAGAACTGTCTCTGAACTACTGCAAAAGGGATGCAGAGCTGGACGGTTGAAACTCATATGTTGCTAGTTGCGCTGTCATCAATGTTACTCATCCTGGTCATGTGAAAGCTGACAAGAGACGCTATACTATATTTTTTCGATTTTTTAGTCCCTAAAACTAATAGCAAACTGTTTTCGTTTATTTAATATGTAGTTCTCTACATAGTTTATGCGGCAACTGCTAAAATATTTCCAAAAAAGTCGTTACTGGTATCATTAATGTAATGATTTCGATGAAATTTAGTTTGTAGTCTTTATTTTATTAGAAAAACCTAAATATAAAATATGGAGAAGATTGGATTACTATAACGTTCAAAACTCACAAAAAATGTGGGCCCAGTCATTAAATGTGATAGAATTTTGGGTAATTTTTGTTTCCTGCTTTCCACTCTCAGAAAACAAAGGTTATACAATAAAATGACTTAGGTGTCAATACTCGCTTTTTCCCAATATCTGGTGGGATTTTTTCATTGTTTGAAAAATTCTTTTCGCTAAATTATGCAAAATGAAGCTGAAAATCAAAAATTAAGAAAATCAAAAATTACATATATTTGCAAAGTCGCGCGCAAAGATCAAATTATATATTCGAAACCTACATAAAATTCTCTAAAATATTACTCTAATTTCAAGACCTGACGGACCGGTAACACACACACTTTTTTTTACTAACAATCTTTATAATCTACATTTCAAAGTAAATTTTTTGGTAAGGAAATAGGAAAATACCAAATAAATGATAAATACCTTCACCTGAATATTCCACGACATTTAGATAATTAATTACAATTGAAAAAGAAACACTTTCTGTAATGGGTTCAGCGCCAAATGCAACTAAACTGATTAGTCGGTATCGCGCCCATTCCCGTATTTTTTTGGAAATGTATCGTTCGTGAAGAAGGGGGGTGAGTAAATAATCTAAAATTTGGTACTTATGACTTTTACTATTCCCTCTCTAAGTCAAACCGGTTTTTTTACCAACTGTCACCATGACTTTTTTCTACCTGCCTCCATATATTCGAAACACTGTGCGCCATTTCCTTTTTAAATATTCACAATATATTTAGAGTTAAAATTTGTTTGTTATTATTTTATAAAACAAATCATGATGCTTGAAACAAAATCATATAAACCGTGTTTTAAAACTTTATATAAAACAAAGTTAAATTTAACGATTTTTCATCAAAATTTTTTACTTTGTAATCAGATTTAAAAAAAATAAACATTTTTAAATAAAATATAAAAAATAAAGATTTTTTTATTATAACTATTTCGAGTATTCAAATTTTAGTGTAGTAAAGTGTAATCTTGCATCTTAAACGAAAATATTTAAATTGGAGAATATCTTCAAGAGCGTGCGTAAAAAGTGTTACATTAAATCAGCGCGATTAATTATACTAAAATTTAATGGCTTATAGAGCTGCATACTTATAAACTCTGATTTAAAATATTGAAGTTTTTATAATAGTTTCTAGAATTCTACTAAATTACCAACACAGTTAGAAACGTGAATTTATTTGTTTATGTTATAATACCTATGAGCCATCCTTAATTAAAAAATTTACGAAAAATATTTAGCATGAAAATCATTGTGAATATTTAAAATTCTATATGTTCTTATTAGATGCAGGGGAGTCTATGTATTACATTTCAATACACTTAATACAATTTAACGCTGAGCTATCACAAATAAGCATTCAATATATCACCGTCTTTCTCCTTTTTTTACACGATTTAGTTTAGATTTTTAATTATAAGTATCCCAGAAATACCCATTATACGTAACAAATATAAATTATTTTTACGAATAACAAAAAGAAAAAAAGGAATAATTGACACTTTATGTTCCTAATTTTAAAGCACAGTTTGCCTCAAAAAGTAAATTAGTGCAAATCAAATAGCTCTTTAAACATAAAATGAAGTATATATTTTTTATTTACAAAATTGTATTCGTGCTTATTTAAAGAAAAGGCTCTGTACTATACTTCTAAGAACCAGCTCAAAACTAACCAAATTATTTCTAGTTCGGAGGTAACTCTTTTTGAACTATCTAGGAACTGTTGTTATATGAACTGTCTCAGAGCCATCTAAGCCAGAGTCAGCTCAGAACAAGTTCAAAAGTTCTGCAGAGGGCGACAATTGTCACTTCGTAGGACATCGCCATGTTAAAAAAGACAGTTGAAAGCATTGAGTTGAGATAGATGAAGAACCAGTACCGACCCTTTTCAGGCTAGCTCAGCTCAAGTTCTGAACCAGTTTGATTTGCTGCAGGGTAACAACGACCACTTGAATGTGTATCAATTTGTGCATAGCCTCAAGCGCCATGTACATACATTTGCATCTCTAACACTTACTTATTGTTGGGAAACTTCCTATGAAATTATACTACGTATAGATATGTATTTATATACATAACCATGCGGCATGTATGTAATACGTATGCCCATTTTGCTTTCCTTTGTTATTTAAGCATTTATATAAGGCGCACAAACGCGAAGAGATTTACTTCATTTACAGTGACTTGACCAACTGTTCACGAGTTGATTTTTTTTTTTTATTCATAATGTTAATTTTTTGTTATTTTTCTACAAAAGTCATGTCCAAGCCTTAACAAATGCTTATAAATCACAGTTTCAAACTTTATAAAAAATTTAAGAAAATTCAAAAAATTTTCATCAAAATTTCAACTTTTAATCTGAATCTATATAACAATTTTAGTCAAGTTTCAAACGGTAAAAACACCATACGCAATAAGGCCATATGGTCTTATTTCCATATTGTTTTGGAAATAAAACCATATGACGTTATTTCCAATCCAGAAGTGAAATAAAGTCATATTCAAAATTCTACAAATGAGTAATAAAGTCATAATTGAAATTACAGCCGCTTCAACGAAAAAAATGCATGTTTGGCTACACTATTTGTGGATCACATTTTTAAGATTAATAGACCGTGGACATGTTTCTTTATTATTCAGTTCGGATCCAGAAGAGAATAGTCGTGTAGTTTATCAGGAACAATGATTATAAAGATACAGAAGAAAATGAAATTATAAGGTATCAGTTTATTATTATTGAATTAAATTTTTTCGCAAAACAATTTGAAAAAACTTACCAGGTTTCGCTAGCGCCATTAATTTCATGCAATATTCTATGAATTCCGTGCTAGAGACGAAATGAAAAGAATGCATTCAGATTGCCCGGTCCCATATTATCCGGGAACAATGTTCTAATAAATAAGTGAACAGAAAAATGTATTCCGAATGTTCGAAATGTGAATAAAAAAAACTCTCGTCGTGTGTTAATATTGTTACGGTAATTTTGCAGTTTACGCACACTTGAGAAAATTATTGGTAATCATCAAATTATTAAGTTTAGTCGTTCCTTGATCCATATTGAATAAGCTTGTTTGTTCGATTTTGTTAAGACATATATATATGTATGTATGTATGTACGTATGATACTGAATTACTTATTTGAATTGATAAAAATTATTACTAATAAAATAAAATAAATAATTATTTTATTTCCTGATATATTAGACATTGCAAAATAAATATATGTACTGTTATATGTTTTAATTTTGCGAGTGCATAACTTGGCGCGTGCACATTTACTCACTCCCCCAACTAAAACATGGTCGCTTGTTTGAGTCACTGTGTGTATGTATGTAATGTTAAAGAATAACAGTATTACGTGCTCAGCTACTTGCATTGAAAAGCCGTTGGGGGAAAATTGTTAAAACTACATACACTTATGGGTAAGTATACGAGTATCAGTGTTTTCTTAGTAAAGGGTTGCGATTTACATTGAAATATCGAATAATAAAATATTATTGCACTTGTGCGAGACAATCATAAGCTAGGGGCAAATCTGTTAAAGTTTCGAGATGTAAAAGATTTGTTTACTTGTTTTTATACCCGAGCGCACTTGTGCACAAGGGTATATTAATTTTGTTCACATAACGGTTGTTTGTAACAGCCAAAACGAATCGAGATAGATATAGACAAATGTATACATAAATGATCAGGACGAAAAAAGAAATCGATTAAGCCATGTCTGTCTGTCCGTCCGTCTGTCCGTCTGTCCGTCTGTCCGTGTACACGATAACTCGAGCAAAAATTGAGATATCTCAACGAAATTTGGTATGTAGGTTTCCCTTAATCCAAGGTAGGTTGGTATTGAAAATGGGCGAAATCGGACTTTAACCACGCCCACTTCCCATATAACGGTAATTTCCAGAAATACGAAAACTGCGATATTTTAGTAACTACTGAAGATAATTCACTCAAAATTGATATTTACAATAATTTTTAGACGAAAAATAAGAATATTATAAATTTTTGGAAAATGGGCGTAGCCACGCCCACTTATGGTTACATGTGTATATCTTGGTAACCGCTGCACCAATTTCTTCCAAACTTGGCACAGTTGTTGGCCTTGGTACAGCATAAAAAACCGCCGAAAATTTTTAAAATCGGACAATAACCACGCCCACATCCCATATAACGGTAATTTAGAGAAATACAAAATCTTCGAAAAATCATTAAATATTGAAGCTAATTTATTCAAAGTTGATGCTTGCAACAATTCTTTACCAAGAAATACGTTTATGGTAAAATTTTGGAAAATGGGCGTGGCACCGCCCACTTATGATCACATATAAGTATATCGGTAACCGTTCTACCAATTTGTACCAAACTCGGTATGGTTATTGTACTTGCCACGTGTAAGCAAAACGTTGAAAATTATTGAAATCGGACTAAAATAACGGCCGATTCTCATATAACGGTAAATTTAAGAAATGCTTGAAACTTCAATATTTCGAAATT